GGTAAATCCGCCTCCCCCCCCGCAATCTGTGGGAAGGGAGGGTTAGGAAAGTTCTTTCGAGGGAGCTGGAACCGGTGGTGGCAAAATGACACCGGCCATCTCCGATCACGGCCATTCAAGAGTGTAAAAAGAACGATAAAAAGGAAGGCTGTGGATGTGCCGGTGGATGTCTCTGGCGCATCCGATGGGAATTTGAACTGCATACTTTCCAAGAGTTTCTTCTTCTTTTTTTTTTTTTTAATATAGGAAAGAGATAAAATGAACGAAACGACGTGTAAAGAGATTTAGAGGGGGGAGGGGGAGGGGGGATAAAAGTAGGTATGGTAGCGGTGTTGGTAGTTTATATAGAAAAGTGTTTCAAACAAACTTTAAGGAAGGTAAAACTGATGTAATATGTTGGACAACATAGAGCTTTATGATTATGATTTTCACAACGAAATGTTGAATTATAGGTGGAATTTTTGAAAAGACGAAGCAATCGAGAATTTAAGTAAAAAATGTTACGGAGAAAGAGAGTAAACGATAATGTTACGGTTAATGCGAATCGGATGTGAGACGCGATGATAAAATATCTCGTGTCTTTGGATGTTTTTAAACGTAAGATTTAGAGACAAATTTCCCAATTGAAATTTGGAAACGTGTTTTAGCATCGTCGAGGCAATGTCAATTTTCACCCTTAACGTCCCCAAGTTCGATCGAAAAGAACATCGGATGTAAGTAGCGACGATTGGCTGTCGAGCAACAACTTCCGGCGAGCAATGTCTAATTTTTCAAGCTTCTCGTGCACGCAACAATTTCCGGGCCATCCTCGATACGAGCTATTTGTCAATTGGTCCATTTCGAGCGAGAAATTTAGTTAGTTTTTCCGCGGCAGGAAATAAAAAGGCGATTTCCTCGATTGCATTGCTATTATTTCAAGAACTGGGACGGCTTTTTATATTGTTTTTATCTGTGGGATGTAAAAAAATTTGTGATTCGCCAATTCAATTGTCTTATCGTTTGAAACAATTATCTGTGTCCATCTGTGGAGATCAGTCAACTCGAAATTAATAAGAAATTAATTAAACAAAAAATATTAGCAAGACAATTAAGTTTAATTTATATAACAAATAAGTTGTCGTTGGTTAATATTTATTGCATAATTATATTATTATTGCGTACTCGTTTAAATCAATCCTTTCAATTAAGATAATGTTGTTCAACAACATTTTCTTCGTAGTCGAGTATGAAATATTCTTAAAGAAAAATGACTTTCTGTAACAGGAGACTAGAATGCTGATAGAGCATAACTAAACGAATAGAGAGACGCGAGGAGAAGATTCAAGACCACCATATCCACACTTATACACTTCCATTACTTTTCTCTCTAAGTTAATAAGAAAATAAAAGGACAATATTGAATAGTGTTATTTTTTAATATAACACCTTAGTACTTCGTATGATATTAATAGGGATACAGAAGGGAAATAGAAGTATTGGACAAGAGGAGCAACAAAAGAGTGTAATTTAATTATTAATTTATCATAACATATTGATGCTTTCGATCCAATATTACTAGGATTGTAGAACGATAGAAGAGCAACGAGTTTCCGACATCACCGATATTCTTCCTTCCGGGTAATGCATCTTCCAAGTAACAGAACAGCAGAACGTGACAAGAAGTAAAAAAATCTCAACAAGTTGAACGGGTGAAACAAAAAGGAAAAAAATTACATCGTCAAAAAGCTTACTTTCGAACAGAAATCGATATCTTAATCTTTTCGAAGACGTCATAGAAAAGGTTCGAAAAAGAGTTAACAAATCATTCGATTAAATTCAATTCGAATGATCCATTTTACTCTTCTTTTCGTGGAAATTCTTTTTCCTTGATACATCACCATTCAAGCAAGTTATATATCAGGCAACCAGTATCAGCATCGATCCAGAAACGACTTTCAACGTCCGGTTGAATGATCTCCGCGCAATTTCATTTTATCTATCAGGCCGATATCTGGCTCTAAAAGTATTCCTCAATCCCTTCTTAGAAACGATTCAGAGAGATCTGCCGCGTGAGCAGGAGACCTACTTCCATGTAACCGGAAGATGCCTCTGTTTCGCGAGGCTAAGATGAAATACACGCGAAAGTTGCAGCTTACCAAGATTCGATCGTTAATTCGAGTGATCAGTGTCCGAAATCGATAACCGAACTTCCTCCCCAAGTTCCAAGTAATTTAATTTTCAGACAGTTCCGCGATCGAAAACCTGGTACCACACATCTTCGACCCGCTTACACGCCCCTAAGTTTCCCCGCCGTAATGTCTACGCCCATACATAAACTGGGAGCAGACTGCAACTTCTGCTTTCTTGGCTGGTCTTGCTTTTGATAGCACCCATCGGCTTCCTGGTTTATTTGCAACTGACGGGGGTGAACGAAACTTCGTTCCGTTTATGGAGCAGCCATGCTGAAACTGGGATACTACTGACTGAACATCTATGGATTTATGAAACATTATAACGCTGTAGAAGAAAAAAAATATCGTTGAAATATCGATAAATAATTAATTAAGCAACTGTAATTAAACTCGCTTAAACTTCAACACTTTCGTTTTGTTCAAAAACGAGGTGAACGGAATTAAATTAACAATAGGTCAACGATTATTGTAATTAGCAACGATTTTCGCAAAATTTTCGATTAAAAAGTTTCTGGCAACGCAACTCTATATCCTGAAAACTTGGCATCATTTTGAGAGAGAGAGGGGGGGGGAGGAGAAAAGAGTAATGCGAATAAAAGGGAGCGAAAGAGAGATTTCAGAGAGGTTGATGGAAGAAGACATTTATGTCTGCTGATCGGAGAACAAGCATGGTTCGATAAATAGCGTCCTTTTGGTAGTCCTGCGCGCTTTGAACAGGTTCCACTGCTTTGTCTACCCGCCATCAAATGAACTCGAGAGTCCACGTAATAATTAGGTATAGACAAGGCCTAAATGGCAGTCTCAAAGTGGTCGTTATCGACATCAACGGCACGTTGTCGACAGAGACGCCGCTGCTACAGATACCTAATCATTCGATCGATCGATGAAAATTTCAAAGGGAAGCTTGAACAAATGTATTTTCTTCCTGTTCGAGATCACAATTCTTTCTCGTTTAATATACATACATGCGTGTACAATCGAATCGAAGGATTAAAAGGATAAATAACATTGTCGACAGAAATATTGTAATTAATGTAAAAATATATGGAAGAGATAGGGTTGTAAAGATATATTTTTACGAATGTATAGATGATATGCATAGATATACAGTTGAAGTTAAAACTTGAAGACAAAAAATTTATTCAATATATCTATAACGTGTACATACAATTGGAAATTGATTGAAAAAAAAAATATCACGTGTGAATACAAATTAATGTGTTGGTGTATATAATGTATCGTATTTAACACTGATTTCATTTTTGTAACGTATATCACTATGTACATACAGCTTTTGATACAGAATATTTTGATTTTAACGGGTTTAATTGGGATTCCAATTATGCGAAACTGTGAACAAGATCGAAAAATGGATTATAAATAAATTCGAGTAATCTGGTATATCATTGCACAGATTTATCGTGTTTTTTTAAATCGGTTCAGTGGTTAGTTGTTAAAAAAAAAAAAAAAAACCAAAAATTCGAAGCAATAAAATCGAAACGATATACACGTGCGATATAAAATAAAACAAAATAATACAACCATGAAAAATCGTTTATCCAGGGGAAGAAAACTCGATGTATCGTTTACGTTTGTTTTTTACAACTTGTGCATTTTATTGATTCCGATAAGTTTATCCCGAACAAGTGCGTAGAAATGTGTATACCTCATTGAAAGATTCTCTCGATGACGAGTCGAATGTTCGTTCAATCGTGAAATAATTGCGCGGATCCTCGATAAAAGCGCGGTGTGTTCGAACTTACGCTCATAAAAAATGCATTTCGCTCGATTGACGAGCTTAAAAAGCATCCGTAACCGTAAACAATAACAGCGTTGTGTACAAATAGTCAGCTAATAATCTGGCCAACCCGGTCAGAAACTTTGATCGAACTTCCATAAAGGAAGTTTCCACGCGAAAGTTTTCAAAGCGAACGTCTCAGTTTGCGCGTATTTTCTTCCTATTATCGATTATAAAACGAAGTTTAACAGGTTGATACTCGAAATAATTTTCTAACCGATCTCCCTTCTCGATCTGTTTGCATTTGATATCAAGCTCCGACGGACTGCTATGCGGAGAACACCTGCCGGTGATCCCTTCATGGAGGTAAAATTATATTTTTTTTTCTTCTCTCTCTCTCTCTCTCTCTTTCTTTTCTTGTTTCAACTTCGCTG